GGGGGGGGGGGAAGGCAAATCAGGCGTAAGTCTGCACGCTAGTGCGGAATTGTGTCTGTGTGCTGCTCTCCCCCAGACCACCGGAGCGGCCGGCGCCGCGGCGCCTGATGGAGCCGCCGGCATCGCGAGCTCCCGACGGAGCACCCATCCGTTGGCACATTGCCCGCCACCAGGCCGCGACATTCAGCCCGCGCAAAAGAAGAGAGAGACCCCGAAAAGCCGCGCCGCGCGGAGCGCGCAGCCAAGAAAAAGGCGGCGGAAAGACGCGGTGCTGTGTATTTTTGCGTGCCCCCGCGACGTTTCGCCCAGGCTCCCGCGGTTGGGGAAGCGGGGAGGAAGGAGGCTTGAAAAGGGAGGCCCTCCGCGGGGGGGGCAGGCGAAAGAAGGTCCCCGCGGTGAGCCACGGGGCAGGCTCACACACCCTGGCCCAGGAGATGTGGGTCCGCCTCCACGGCCACCCCTGTGTTTGTCCACAGGGAGACGGTCCCTCCTATTGAGAAGGAGAACCCGAGATCTAATGACCGGGAGACTACACACATCGCCGTGCCAGGGCATGCGAACCCGCTCGTGCTTGACTGCCTACGCGCCGCGAGGGTGCCGGAAGATGCCCCCACCGCCACGCGGCGCTCATGGAGAGCTATCGGGAGAGGGAGGGGAGGAGGAAGAGGCGGAGGGGAAGGGGCCTGGCAAAAGGGTGGCTGCTGCCTCACCGCGAGACCCTCTGCCACCTTGTGCCATTACATGCTTGTGCGTGCGCGCAGCTGCCCGCTCAGGCGAGCGGCGAGAAGCCCTCCTTCTCGCAGCCCGACGCCAGAGCCAGAGACTGGCGCAGCTCATCTATCGAGAAGGCGGCACTGCCGAAGGCGGTGGCACGCGGCCAAATCTTCTGGCACGCCTCGGAGAAGGCGCTGGCCGCGGCCTCCTGGCCATGGGCCTTCAGCCAGGCCAGAGCGGCCTCCGCCACCGGGAGGTCCTCGACCACGCTGATCTGGTCCGCGGTCAGAGCACCGGTCGCCGTGGCGAAAGCCATCCCGGCGGCCTGGGTCTCGGCGGCAGTCGGCCCATGCATGAGAGCCGTGGCCCGGAGGACTGTCATTCGAGGCGGAGAGGGGAGGGGCGCGAACGTCAGACGTCGGGACACCGCGTGTGCAGCAATCAAGGGGGGAGCGCAAGCGCGGGAATGGGAGGGTGGCAAAGGGGGGGGGGGAAGAGAAAGAGAGGAAGACAGCAGACAAGACGCCGGCCGGGGCGCAAGATGGACGAGAGGGGGATCAAGAGGGATGGAGAGAAGCGACAGACAAGGGAGAACGCACCACCACTCAGGTGGGGGATGCTGCTACGCGGGGCCGCGGCGATGAGAGCCTCCGCCGAAGTAGGCAGACCAGCGTCGGGGGCGAAACCGCTCGATGCCGGAACAGCCTTGGTCAGGAAGTACACCAGAGCCACCAGCAGGTCCGGGTGCGAGGCGTCAATGGCCAGGCCAGCCAGCAGGGCACGCTGGGCCAGATCAAGCAGGCCCTTGCGTGCGTAGATCGCCGCCGCGCCAACCTGCACGCGAATGTCCCCCGGGTAGTCCTGGACCAGCGGCCGGACAAAGTTGTCGATGGCCTCCTGGAGGAGATCCTCAACGGCCTCGACATCGGTGGCCGGGACGGCTATCACACAGCCAACACCGGGCATTGAAGGGATGGGAACGAGGCAAGCGAGCGACAGGAAAAGAGGCTGGTGAGAAGAAACCCACGGGAAAGCCATGTCAAATACCCGACCGCCCGAGGAAGGGGGTGTGTGAAGGAAAGAAACACAGAGCAGAAGGCGAACAAATGCCCCACGCACTGTACGTCTTGCCGGCGGCCGCGGCCGCGGCACGCTGCTTGACCGCGACCTTCTCCTGCGCCTTCAGGACTGTGGCCAGCTCGCGGCCCGCCTCGGCCGGGTGGTCATGCACAAAGATGTACGCCTCAATGGCGCCGAGCGCGGCATCGAAGAAGGCCACATCCTTGCGGATGCGGTTCTCATAGGAAATGAGGCTGGCATAGGCACGGAGGGTCATCTTGCGCAGGCAATAGGTGTGGAAGTCCAGCTGGTCATCCCAGAACTCCAGGTAGATCCGGTGAACCTGGCGGAAGCGCGCCAGGGCCTTGTACGCCTGGCGGTCCTTCAGCAGCGCCTTGCCGGCCAGGGTGGAGAACCAGGAGAATTGCAGCTGGTCCAGGGACTTGAGGACACTGGCGCCGTCCGGGTCGGCGCGGGTGAAGTTCTCGATCAGCTTCTCGGCATGCGCGAGATCCCCCGCCTCGAGGGAGATCTTGCAGGCCTCCGTGTTCAGGTAGCGGTCCTGCTTGTCCAGGTCGAAGGCGTAGGTCGAGGCGGCCATGGCGCCCTTCAGGTCGCCGCACGACTGGACGCCGCCCGTCACATATGCAACCGCAAGGAAGTGAGCCAGCGAATGAGTGGGAAACGGAGTGTCAGTGGGAAGGACCGGATGCCCCGAGAGAGAGAGAGAGAGAGAGAGAGAGCCAGGCCCGAAGAGCCGGCGGAAGGCCGAGGAGCAGGAGGACACAACCCACCTTCAGCAGCTTCCCCTTGAGGATGTACAGATCGGGCAGGGTCGGGGTATGGGCGATGGCCAGATCCACCAGCTCCAGAGCCCGCTCCAGGTCCAGCACAGCGGCATAGTGGTTGGCCGCAAAATAGAGCACCCACAGGCGCGAGGAGGCAGGCTCGGAGAAGTCGGCCTTCTCCTCGCCGGCCGGCAGCAGCGACGACTGCAGACGCCCGCCGGCCTCCGAAGACCGGAGCAGATCCGTCACCAGGGTCTCGGTGATGGTGCGCGACTCGGCATCCACATACAGCCGAGCCTTCAGCGAGTTGAAGGTCGACGGCACGCAGCGCCGGATGCCAGCCACCACCCCGGTGGCCAGCTGCCGGGCGAAATCCGCCCCGGTGCTGCTCGTCAGCTGGAGATGGCGGACCAGTTGCGACCGGGGGCGGCGCTGGGCCAGCTCCGCGTAGAGGCCGGCCTCGGCGTCGGCACCGCCGCGCACGCGCAGCAGCGCCCGCACCAGGTCGGCGTTCTCCGGGTTCCGGTCAAACTCGGCCAGCAGGATGGCCTCGGCCTCGGCCGTGCGGTTCAGGTTGGCCAGAAGGTCGGCTATCGAGTGCAGAGAGAGACCGAGGGAGCGAGGGGGGGG